TAGCTTTTTTTTTTTTTTAGAGATGGGGTCTCACTCTTGCTCTGGTTGGTCTCAAACCTGTGAGCTCAGACAGTCCACCTGCCTCAGCCTCCCAAGTGCTGGGATTACAGGCATGAGCCACTGCGCCCAGCTCATTTATTGTATTTTTTTAGAATTAACCACAGTTATCCAAAGTAAATACTGAACTACTTCTTAATCTGACTTTTGGCTATAATGTGTTTGCTTTATTATTCTTTAAATTTTATATGTGAAATACAAACTTTTTATGTAAATGGAGAGAATATCCATAAGTGGAATCATAACAATGAGTATGTAGCCTTTTGAGTCTGTTTCCATTCACTTAAGCTGTATTCCAAGTGCATCCTAGTAAGTGAATGTTTTTGAGATTCATTTGTGTTCCTCTGCGTATCAGTCCCTTTAGTTTCTTAGTAGTACTCCATCATATGGATGTACACAGTTTGTTTATTCATTTACCAGTTGAAGGATATTTGGGTTGTTTCCAGTTTTTGGAGATAATAAACTCACTATACATACATGCATACAAGTTTCTGTATGAACACAAGTTTTCATTTCATTTGTTGGGCTCACTACCTAGGAATGGGATTGTGGTAAGTATATGCTTAACTTTATAAGAAACTGCCCAACAGTTTTCCCAAGTGATTGTATTTTGAATTCCTGCCAGCATTGTATGAGGGTTTTAATAGCTCTGCCTCCTCACTAGTATATGGCATTGTCAGTTTTTTGGGGGAGAGTTCAGTGTTTTTGTTTTCATTGTTTATAAATTATTTTTATTTTTTATATTATTGGAGGAAAATTATTTAAAAAAATTTTTTTTGAGAAAGAGTCTCCCTCCGTAGCCCTGGGTAGAGTGCCTGGTGTCACAGCTCACAGAAACTACAAACTCCTGAGTTCAGGAGATTTTCCTGCCTCAGCCTCCCAAGTAGCTGGGGCTACAGGCACCTGCCACAATGCCCAGATATTTTATTTATTTTTTTAGTAGAGACAGGGCCTCACTCTTACTCAGGCTGGTCTAGAACTCCTGAGCAGCTCAAATGATCCACCTGACTCAGCCTCCCACAGTGCTAGGATTATAGGCATGAGCCACTGCTCCAGGTCTTATAAATAATAATAATTATCATTATTATTTTGAGACATAATCTCATTATGTTGCCCTTGGTAGAGTACTGTGGCATCACAGCTCACAGCAACCTCAAACTCTTGGGCTTAAGCAATTCTCTTGCTTCAGCCTCCCAAGTAGACTACAGGTGCCCGCCACAAAACCTGGCTATTTATTGTTGCAGTTGTCATTATTGTTTTAGCTGTCCCAGGCTGGTTCGAACCCGCCACCCTCGGTGTATGTGGGTGGCACCCTAACCACTGTGCTCCAGGAGCCAACCTGCTTATAAATTATTTTTAATCTCAAAAGTAATCTTTGTGAACATCTGTGATGCTTTGAGGCTCTAGATGTAGACAGGAATGTAGATTTAGCCTATGCCAATCTCTAGATGAGTGTTTTTCTTTTCTTTTCTTTTTTTTTTTTTTGAGACTGAGTTTCACTCTGTCACCCTGGGTTGAGTGCCCTAGTGTCATCATAGCTCACAGCAAACTCAAACTCTTGGGCTCAAGCAATCTTCTTTCGTCAGCCTCCTGAGTAGGTTGGAGTACCTACAACACGTGGCTATTTTTTTCTATTTTAGTAGAGATAGGGTGTCATTCTTGCTTAGGTTGATCTTAAACTACAGAGCTCAAATGATCCTCCTCTGCCAGCTGCCCAGAATGCTAAGATTATAGATGTGAGCCACTGCACCTGGCCAGTGTTTTTCACAACCTTTTTTTATCTCATGGCACCCATGAACCTAGAGTTAAATTTCCATGGCATGCTTAAATTATGCTGGTCAAAAAAAGAGTAAAAAAAGAATATACTTACTGTACTTTGAACTTCTTTCAAAAATAATTGAATTAATGATCTTTAAAAATGTTTTCAGCACGCTTAGCACCCAAAGCTCAGTGAGTAGGGCACTAGCCACATACACTGAGGCTGGTGGGTTCGAGCCCAGTGTGGGCCTGCTAAGCAACAATGACAAGTGTAACCAAAAAAAAATAGCTGGGCGTTGTGGTGGGTGCCTAGAGTCCCAGCTACTTGGGAGGCTGAGGCAAGAGAATCACTTAAGCCCAAGACTTTGAGTTTGCTGTGAGCTGTGATGCCACGGCATTCTACCCAGGGCAACATAGTTAGGCTCTGTCTCAAAAAAAATTTGAGCACACCTAAGATCCTCCCATGGCACACCAGGCTGCTATGGCACACTGGTTAAAAATTACTGCTGTAGATGTTTGAAGACCAAGGTCTTTCAGCATTTCTGATTGTTAGTAGAAAACTTTGATATCACCAAGTAGGCAATAAATGGCTTTTGTTACTACTGCAAAGAGTTTCAAGAATAGTTTAGTTTTGTGTTTTCTTTCTTCCCTAGAACCTGGGCCCTTTCCTGGGATTGTGGACATTCTTGGAGCAGGAGGTGGCCTCCTGGAGTATCGAGCTAGTCTGCTGGCTGGGAAGGGTTTTGCTGTGATGGCTCTGGCTTATTATAACTATGAAGACCTCCCCAAGAGCATGGAGACCCTCCACCTGGAGTACTTTGAAGAAGCTGTCAACTACCTGTGCAATCACCCTGAGGTTGGCTCTTCTCTGAGTTTTATGGGCCACCTTTCAGGTCTCCTCCTCCAACAGAAGCTGGCTCATTTATCACAGCTCCTCCTTACCCAACATATACTACCTTTCATAGTCACTCTCATAGACATCTTCTACACAGTTCTGTATTTCTATCATATACTTTCTGCTAGTAAAGATGTTCTTAGTTGTTATTATGGAATTTTAAATTCCAGTATGTTATAATATTTCATAGAGCCCAAACACATTTAAGAAGCCTTGGTCTGATATAGGAAGTAGAAAGAAAGAGGAAGGGAATTGCTGTCCCTAGAAGGTGCCAGATTAAGTGCTTGAATTTAACAGTTCTCTCTCCTAATACCTCCTTGTCCTGAGTACAGAATTAAGATTTTTTTCTTTGATTAAACTTTGAGGGAGGAACATGGCAGTCAGAGAACCTGGATACTAGGTAATGTTTTGAGAGTTCTAGACTTAGCATATCAGGGGATTTGAAAATAAATCTTGCTTATTATATAATTCAATCAGAGCTCAAGGTTAATAGCACCGAAGCTCTTAAAAAAGGTGATAGCGGCTCAGCGCCTGTGGCTCAGCGGCTAAGGCGCCAGCCACATACACCTAAGGTGGCGGGTTCGAATCCCCAGCCCGGGCCCGCCAAACAACAATGATGGCTGCAACCAAAAAATGGCCGGGCGTTGTGGCGGGCGCCTGTGGTCCCAGCTACCTGGGAGGCTGAGGCAGGAGACTCGCTTGAGCCCAGGAGTTGGAGGTTGCTGTGAGCGTGATGCCATGGCACTCTGCCCAGGGGGATAGCTTGAGGCTCCGTCTCAAAAAAAAAAAGGTGATAGGAGAGTTGGGCACAGTGCTGTGAGCCTGTAGTCCCAGCTACTTGGGCAGGAGGATCACTTGAGCCCAGGAGTTCAACACTATGATGAGCTGTGATTGTGCCTGTGAGTAGCCATGGCACTCTAGCCTGGGCAACACAGTGGGACTCTATCTTGGAAAGAAAAGAAAAAGGTGATAGGGGACAGGAGAGGTGGCTCATGCCAGTGATCCTTAACACTCTGGGAGGCCGAGGTGAGTGGATTGCTTGAGCACAGGAGTTTGAGACCAATCTGAGCAACAGTGAGACCCTTTCTCTACTAAAAATAGCCAGGTGTTGTGGTGGGCGCCTGTAGTCCCAGCACTCAGGTGGCTGAGGCATGAGGATCACTTGGAGTTTGAGGTTGCTGTGAGCTACGACACCCTGGCACTCTTCCCAGGGCAACAGCGTGAGACTCTGTCTCAAAGACAAACAAACAGAAATGTGTTTTTTTTTTTTTTTTTCTCATTGTATCTTTAGGTCTCTGTCAGGAGAATGACAGTAAACTCTAGCCCTGCCCTGATGAGGCTCCAGGAGATCTGGATATGGATGTTTACCTTGTGCCTTTCACAGGACGTTTCTTATCCTGGTAGAAGGCCTAATGCCTAAGTGTCTGACATTTGACTGGATGTCCTTCTTAAAGGAAACTTGTTTATATTTGTTTAATGCCCTGTGACTCTTACCAGACCCGGGTCCAGTTTGTCCCTACCAAGATAGCCACTCTATAAGATAGCCCTGACCTGGAAAGAAATTAGCTGTGTGGGTCAGGTGAGACACAGAAGAGGCAGCAAAATGAAAAACATGAAATAACAGAAGCAGTTTATTACTTACAGATCCAGAGAAAAAGCATAGTATACCTTACACGGGTCCCAGAAAGAGGAATAATTTGGGACATGCACATACAACTAAGGAGTGTGGGAGAGAGAGAGAACTGGTAGATCAAGTGCTTTATTGGGGCTCAGGGTGTTACTCAAGCAGATTTTCCTTAGGGGATTGTGGATTGGCCAGTTTTTAGGAATCATGCAGAAGGTAGGGAATTTATTTCCATGATGCTGGTGTTGGTCATTAGGTTTTAATGTGGTCAGCACCTGTGCAATGAGCATCCCCAGCGTCCATCAATCCTGCCGCACTTCACTGGTATATTTGCTTTTCACGTCTGTAAAAGACTACTTCATACCTTATCCTTTCTCCTCTAGACCCTGTTACCCCCACATCCCCCTTACTTTTTTTTTTCCCCAGGACAAAGTCTCACTCAGTCGCCCTGGGGTTGAGTGTTGAGGCATCATAGCTCAACAACCCTGTAACCCCCATGTCCCCCTCATACAGAGGTATGTTGGGTTTTGGGTTCGTGGGAGGAGACACAAGTGGGTTATATCATGAACTGCCCCACACAGGGGAAGTCTTCAGTAGGCCAAAGATGTTGGGGGTACAACTGGGTTTCAAATAACTTATATAAGGCTTAAAAATAGATGCTGAGGCAGCAACTGTATTGAACAAATTTATGTCAGATGCTTCTCTGGACACAGGACAGAGAGCAGAAAGTTTAAGCTGATGTGGAAATTGCTAGATTTGACAGTGAGAAAATGAGAAGTTCCTACCAAATAGTATCTGTTGTCATCTTGATAAAGTATGAAGAGCTGATGATCACACCACTGTACTACAGGCTGGGTGACAGAGTGAGGCCCCATTCCTATCAAAAAAAGTATGAAGAGCTAAAAGTGATGGGGGAAGGGCCGAGCATGGTGGCTCACACTCTGGGAGGACAAGACAGGTAGATTGCCTGAGCTCAGGAGTTCTAGACCAGCCTGAGTAAAGCAAGACCCTGTCTCTACAAATAGAAGAGCTAGCTGTGAGTTGTGGCAGGCATCAGGAGTCCCAGCTACTTGGGAAGCTGAGATAAGAGAATTATTTCAGCCCGAGAGTCTGAGGTTGCTATGAGCTATGATGCCTCAAAACTCAACCCCTGGACAACTGAGAGGGACTCTGTCTTGGCAAAGAAAAAAAAAAGAGAGAGAGAGGAATGTGGGGGTTACAGGGTCTAGGGGAGATAGGAGAAGGTGTGAAGTAGTGTTTTACAGACGTGAAAAGCAATTATACCAGTAAAGTACAGCAGGACTGATGGATACTGGGGATGCTCATTTGAAATTGGTGGTCATGAAATGGAAGTGAGGTCTGTTAGCATAAATGTATATATTTTTTTCTTCCACCAATGTTCATTTGCACAAATGCAGGACTGGAGGAAGTGAATAGGTAGATTTAACCAGAGTTAGCATTTTTCCAGGTCTGTATGATCAAAGTTTGCAATGGAGTGATAACTGATGAGCATGAAATTTGAGCTGGAAAAGATGGGAAGTGAAAACAGGAGAGAGATATTGATAGTGAAAAAATGGTAGCCAGGCTTGCAAAGAAGTGGACACAGGGGTTACCAGAATGGCTAAACGGAAAGTATTAAAGATGGTGATCTGAGAGTGGAATGCTTAAAGATGAGATTTTGAACGTGATATACTTATTGATGATGACTCAGTTTAGTTATGACAATAGAACTGGGTGGCTTGGGTGGGACAGAGAAAAAGACCTTGGAAATACAAAGTCAAGGAACTGAGCAGCCAAAGTCATTGACAGATCAGACACATGGTTGTCACCAAACAGTGATGGAGAAATTGTGGAAAAGAAGACATGAAGGAGAAGGGTAAGTAAATTTCCCAAGCCCGCAAACTGGGTAGATGGCAGAAGCCACATTCAAGCTCAGGATCACCTGACTTCCAAGGGTGGATACCATTCCCCATACTCCCTGTTGTCTCATTCTTCTTCTTGTGCCCCTGTCCCCTTCACAGGTAAAGGGTCCAGGAGTCGGGCTGCTTGGAATTTCCAAAGGGGGTGAACTATGCCTTTCCATGGCCTCTTTCCTGAAGGGCATCACGGCTGCTGTCATAATCAATGGCTCTGTGGCCAATGTTGGGGGAACCTTACACTACAAGGGGGAGACGCTGCCTCCTATTGGCGTCAACAAAAATCGAATCAAGGTGACCAAAGATGGCTTTGCAGACATTGTGGATGCCCTGAACAGCCCTCTGGAAGGACCTGACCAGAAGAGCTTCATTCCTGTGGAAAGGGCTGAGAGCACCTTCCTGTTCCTTGTAGGTCAGGATGACCACAACTGGAAGAGTGAGTTCTATGCTCAGGAGGCCTCCAAACGCTTACAGGCCCACGGGAGGAAAAAGCCCCAGATCATCTGTTACCCAGGGGCAGGGCACTATATTGAGCCTCCTTACTTCCCCTTATGCCGGGCTTCCCTGCATACCTTGGTGGGCAGTCCTGTCATTTGGGGAGGGGAGCCCAGGGCTCATGCCATGGCCCAGGTGGATGCCTGGGAGCAACTCCAGACTTTCTTCCACAAACACCTGGGTGGTAAAGAGGAGACAGTACCAGCAAAACTATAAGTTTTAATTGATTGTGTGGCATCTCTGCTGCTAATCTCTCCTGGGAACAGCTGCCACATTTGGTGTGTGTTATGTATATTCTTTTTGTTCTTTTTAATAACTACATAGAGTTTTTCCCCTTTCACTGTTAAGATGAAGTTACCAGTGAGAAGGAGATTTTAAGATTGTTAAAAACATACACTTTATTAGTCTGGGAAGTGAGTGATTATGCAGAAACACAAGAGGTGGGAAAAGCATACTCCTTACTATCTCAACCACATGGCTGAAAGGCTTTGGCTCTGAAAGGAAAAATGAGTAACCCTAACTAACAGTGCCTGGTACATGATGGGAGGTCAATAATTATTGTTGAACAACGTATTAATAAGGCAATGATTACCTACTATAGAGGAAAACCATGTAGTATCAAAAATGTAACATTACATATGTTTCTCCATTGCAAATGGAAGTTTTCATCTTAACTATAAACTGATTACTAGTTAGATATAAATCTACTAAAAATTTTCAAAACAAATGCATTTTTGTCTTGGCAACTGTAGCACAGTGGTTATGGCACCAACCACATAGACCAAAGGTAGCGGGATCAAACACGGCCCCTGCCAGCTAAAACAACTGCAACGACAACAACAACAACAAAATAGCCGTGTGTTGTGGTGGGTGCCTGTAGTCCCAGCTACTTGGGAGGCTAAGGCAAGAGACTTGCTTAATTAAGGCCAAGAGTTTGAGGTTACTGTGAGCTGTGATGCCACGGCACTGTACCGAGGGCAACATAATGAGACTTTGTCTCAAAAAAAAAAATTGCATTTTAATTCTTTGATATCTTCTTTTTGGATGAATATTCTCCTACAGTTAATACATTTTATGTGCCTTTTTATACATATGGACACTTAGGATTTAGTTGTTTCAAAAGCTGGTAAAACATTTTTTAGGCGAATTATGTAAGTGATTTAAATACTGATAAATGTGGAAATAAATGATGGTTTAATATTTGTATCACTTGAGCTGGGTACAGTAGCTTGTACCTGTAGTTCTAGCTACTCAGAAGACTGAGGCAAGTGGATTGCTTGAGCCCGGGAGTTCAAGTTCAGCCTGGGCAACATATGTAGTAAGATTCCATCTCCAAAAAATGAATATATGTTCATATGACTTGATATAAATAGCTTCAGGATGAACTTAACTAATTTTTCTTAAGCCTTATTTGTATTTAAAGGAAAAAAATACCTTAATTTATGATTATTGTGTTCTGTTTCCCTAATATTCCTTTTTCATAAAGCAATTCCTGACAGGTTTTTTTCTCCCTGAACTCAAAAATACTACTGTGGTCTTTTTGTCAGCTTTATTTCTATACTGCCAGGTGCTGTATAGACATCCTCATCAGTCTGTGAGGAAGGTGTCATCATTTTCTAGAGGAGGAAACTGAGTCTCAAAGAAGTCCTTTCCATAGTAAATGTAGACCTGGAGCACAGTATGCCCAAGTCCAGTGTCATTTCCCTTTCCTAAGCTACTTTCCTTATGATTCATCATTTTATTTGGGCACAGAACCATTTGTCCTTCAAATTCTGCCACTTTTCCATTGACCCAGTAGAATATACATTCGTGTGTATTCACAGTTGCACGCAGTGTTATGTGATTTCAGGTCCATCATGAATTCCCTAAAGCCCGTCCATGCTCTCTGCAAGACAGTAGCTCCATCCACAGAGAAAAGAAATGGCTCTTCTTCTACCCACATAAACTTTCAGTATTTCCTGAATTATGATTGAGTGCAGTGGTTCACACCTGTAATCCAGCACTTTGGAGGCAGAGGCAGGAAAATTGCTTAAGGCCTGGAATTTGAGACCAACCTGGGCAAAACTGAGAGATCCCTTCTCTACAAAAAATTTTAAAAATGTTAACCAGGCATCTGAACATGGTAGTGGGATTCATGAGGCCGAGGTAGGAAGACTGCTTGTGCCCATAAGTTCAAGGCTGCGGTGAGCTATGTTTGTACTACTGCATTCTATCCTGGGCAACAGAGCAAGATCCTGTTTTTGTTTTTTTTAATTCCTAGATTTGGTGGTGGTGGGGTACACGTTTCAAGATATCATGCATTAAAAATACATAAAAGAATAGATCTTAAGGCCTGGCCTTCTTTCAGTAGTATGATTTTGGAGGAGAAATGTGAGTGACAACCAGTCCTACAATGCCTACACTCTTTCTTTTGATTATTAGCAATATATATGTGATTTGCTCTTGGTGAGAGTTAACCAAACTAATAGGGAATTTTTTTTTTTTTTGAGATAGATTCTCACTATGTTGCCCTTGGTAGAGTGCCGTGGCATCACAGCTCCAAATAGAGCATTCTTGTTGTATCTAACTAAACAGAATTTAGAGGCCAGAGGCCAGGCGAAAAAAGCACTCAGGGCACATTAACATTACTCCAAGAATGTAAATTTTTGCAAGCCTGGCTTGTTGATGCTGCCTGTTCTAGCCTGAATCCAGTTTATATATTGGCTGTTAAAGCAACCTGCTATGACTCTAAGACTAGTTTTACCCCCCACTGAGAGCTTGCCAACTCCCAGAACTTTACTAGAACCAGCAAACTTTCTTTCAGAACATATTTAACAATCCAGTAAAACCCCCAAGCTTCTCTTTGTCTTCAGATAGTCCAAAGACAATCCATTCTCTGTGTAAACCCCAAACTGCAATTTTTTTTTTTTTAGTGCCCTTGGCACTCTGCCATGGTATAACAACTCACAGCAACTTCAAACTCTTGAGCTTAAACAATTCTGTTCCCTCAGCCTCCCAAGTAGCTGGGACTATAGGCACCTGCCACGATACTCTGCAATTTTTTTGTTTTTAGCAGGCCAGGGCTGGGTTCAAACCCACTTAGCCCTGGTGCATGTGGCCAGTGCCCTACCCTCTGAGCTACGGGTGCCACTTAATTTTTTTTTTTTTGAGACAGAGTTTCATTCTGTCACCCTGGCTAGAGTGCCATGGTATTACCCCAGCTCACAGCAACCTCAAATGATCCCCTTGCCTCAGCCTCCTAAATAGCTGGAACTACAGGTACAGGCAATCACCACAACACCTGGCTAACTTTTCTATTTTTTTTAGTAGAGATGGGGACTCACTCTTACTCAGGCTGGTCTTGAACTCCTGGGCTCAAACAATCCAACCACCTGGGCCTCCCAGAGTGCTAGTATTACAGGTGTGAGCCACCTCACTGGGCCTGAACAAATCTTTAAATATTGAAATCATATCAAGTATATTCTCAGAGCCACAGTGAAATGAAATTAGAACACAGTATTAAGAAGACCTTCACCAGTAGATGATCTAATACACATAAGAGAAGAACTCAAATCAATTCAAGGTGGCTGGCAAGGCAATGAGGGAGTGAGGTGTGGGGAGGCAGGAGGGG